CAACAAGCAGTCAATGAGGACGCTGGCAGAAGGCTACAAATGGCAACCAGGTGGTTCGCACTGAATCATGGTGCAAGTCGCTTAATGACACCAATCGGAAAGGCCAGAACTGCTGTCATTTACTGGCATGGCCATGTGATCTTACTCTTTACATCTGCACCATTTAGTCTAAATCACAGTCATTAAATGAGGACTACCTGTACTTTGGTAGAATGAGAAAATGTATGGGGAAATTTTAAGATGTGCAAATACTGATAGAAAGTTAGAATGTGTTACGCAGTGAGTTTGCAAGGAAAGATTACAGGTAGTCCTTGATATACGTATGCCTAGTCACTTAGCGGCCATTCAAAGTTATAACAGACATTCCCAAAACTATTTACGACCCAGTTTCAAAGTTGCCCCCCTCCCCCAGTCATGTGATTGGATTTTGAGCATTTGGCAAATGGCTTTCATTTAGGACTGTTTGTAGCATCCCCTGGTCACATAACTATTTTGGCATTATTATTATTACTTTGCCAGAAACTGGTGTTTATTTCTGGTTTTCAGCTGGAAAAAAAACACTACCCACTAACTAAAATGCTTTTATTTAACAACTGTGGCATTCACTTCACTACCACAAAAAAAGGTCATAAAACCAGGGGTGGTCATGGGATTTGCTCAACAATCACAACTTAGAACTGTAATTGTGAACTCATTTACAGTCATAACCCGAGGATTACCTGTATGTGCCCAAAGAAGCAAAAATAGCTTAATTCAAGACTGCAGTTACACGGAGTTGGGTATATCGCAAGAAATATAATCTAGAGCATGCATGTCAAACTCAACGCATCACGTTGCCGTCACGTGACATTTCGTGATGTTTTTCCCATTCGCGGAACTGGGGTGGGCGTGGCCTGCGCGTGACACATCTGGCCCATGGGCCGCCAGTTTGACACCCCTGATCTAGTGGTTTAAGGCACCAGACTAAAAAGCAAGAGATTGTAAGTTTTAAGTCTTGCCTTAGCCATGAAAGCCAGCTGCGTGATCTTGGGCCAATCACTGTCAGCCTAGCCCACTTTACAGGGTTGTTGTTGTGGAGGAAATAGGGGGACTGTTGTAGAGGAAAATAGAAGATGTTGGATATATTCACCGCCTTATTTGTAAAAATAATAAAGGCAGGATTTAAATATATAAATGCATAAAAGTAATTAGAATGTGTTGGGAATTGAGTGGTTAAGAAGTGTGTGATGTAAAAACAAGGATTTGAGACACAATGCAGAAATGCTGAATGAACATGGATTGAACACAACAATGCATGAAAAAGACAGAATGAACAAAGATTGCATCACAAAACTAATATGTCAGTTCTCGACTTACAACCATTTGTTAGTGATCAAAGTTACAGCTGCACTGAAAATAGTAACTTATGATCATTTTTCCAACTTACGATCTTGCAGCATCGCCATGGTCATGGGATCAAAATCTAGATGCTTGGCAACAGACTCATACTTATGACCGTTGCTGTATCCTGAGGTCATGCTATCACCTTTTGCGACCTTCTGACAAGCAAAATCAATGAGGAAAGCCAGATTCACTTAACAACCATGTTACTGGCTTAACAACTGCAGCAATTCACTTAACAAATGTGGCAAGAAGGGCAGCAAAATGGAGCAAAACTCACTTAACAGAATGTCTCACTTAACAGAAATTTTGTGCTCAATTGTAGTCATAAGTCAAGGACTATCTGTGCCTGAAGGAAAAATGGACAGTAAGGGGAAGACTGAAAATCATGGATTACTGAAGAGGAAATCCCATAGACAGGAATGACAACAAAAGGCAATGTGTAAAGCAGGCGTCTCCAAGCTTGGCAACTTTTAAGATCTGTGGACTTCAACTCCCATAATTCTTCAGCTAGTCATGCTGGCTGGGCAATTCTGGGAGTTGAAGTCCACAAGTCTTAAAGTTGCCAAGTCTGGAGACTCCTGGTGTAAAGTATTGTATGGATGCTTGTGGCATTCCCCAGCCAGCATGCCTGGACTTCAACTCCCAGAATTCCTCAGCCAGTATGTTGGCTAAGGAATTCTGAGAGTTGAAGTCCCTGCATCTTACCCTTTGCTAGGTTGACAAACGTTACTCTACACCCCTATAAAGTCTCCTCTAAATAAGCTCAACTCTTGGGGGACTCGTGAATTGTTCATCCACATGCTGTTTTCCTGGAAAGTATCCCAAAGTGGTTTGGCTCTTGCTTTCTTCATAGGCATTTTCCCATCTTTTCAGCTCGGGGGAAAAAAATAAATCTCCCATGTATAGAAGACTGATGGGGTTTCAGCTGGAATTAACGCTGCTTGCCCCCTAGAGGGCGACAATCGCTAAATCACCGCCTCACCATCTCCTCAACCGCTTTCCTCCCTCCCTCCTTTCCGAGATCGCTGCTTACGTCAGCGGCACGCGCCCCCTCGTCCAATGAGCGGGAGCCGGCGGCGGCGCACGCGCAACCCCCGCCCGCGTGGCTCTTGACGGCACGCGCGCTCCCCGCTTTTGCCGCCCTCCCCCTCTTTCTTCTCGCCCACCGCCACCGCCGCGCATGCCCACTTTCCGGCTCTTCTTTCTCTCGCTTCCCCTCCCACCGAATCACCTCCCCGGCTTATTTATTGCATTGATTTATTTCTTCCTTCACTCTTTTCGTTCCACCGAAGCCGGCTTGCTTTTGCGCCTTAATACCCTCGGCCGGCCTTGCGACGTTCAAACGATACCTTGCTCCGGACAACCACCCGGGCGGAAGGTCCTTAAATCTTTCTGCCTCTTTTTTTTCCTTGCCCTCCCTGTTGATGCTTTGCCGGTGCGCGCGCCTCCTCCCGCTCCCGCTCGGACGTGCTCGGGCCCGATCGGGAGTGGGCGGGGCATCAGAGGTCGCGCACGCGCCACCTCCTTTTCTCCCCCCCCCCCCCCCGTGGCCCCCGCCCCTCCTGCTTTCCCGCCTTTTCCAGAGCGCGCGACTGCGCGCGCCCAGGAACCTTCTTTTCAGGCGCGCACGCGCTCTCCAGGTGTCCGTTTGAGCATGAATGCAGGAGGAAGAGGGCGAGACTTAATTATTTGCCGCCCCCCTATTAAAAACTAGACAATATGGGAAATAAGCACTCAAATGTGAACTTAATTTAGCTCTAAAATGAACCATTTGCAATTAAAATGGTAAATTAATAACCAAAATAATGCTGTGTGATAAATAAATCAAGTAATTCTCAACCTCAGACTTGAGGACTTCAACTCCCAGAATTCTGGCTGGGGAATTCTGGGAGTTGAAGTCCACACATCTTCTATGCTTCTAACACTCCCAATTAAAGAGGAGCAAATTGTATATTATAAGATATGGGAACTTTTATCGATGGCTAGAGAAAAAATATGAAAGCTAGAAATAGCTAATAGATTAACGCAGAGGTCTCCAAACTTGGCAACTTTAAGACATGTGGACTTCAACTCCCAGAATTATCTAGCCAGCATAGTCTTAAAACTTGCCAAGTTTGGAGACCTCTGGATTAGTGAAATATAGAAAATATGTTAATAGAATTAAACATGTTAAGAAGAAGAGTTGTAGTAATAGAGATAATACGTATATCAATAAGATTAGAATAAGTAAGAATAGAGAATACTAAAGTAATGAAAATGGATGTAAATTTTAATTGTTATTGCACAAGATGACACACCATTAAATGAAAGATGAATTGAATGTACCTTAAAACATAAAAAAGTCCACACATCTTAAAAGTTTCCAAGTACGGGTAGTCCTCTACTTATGACCATAATTGAGTCCAATTACTTTGTTAAGTAAGACATTGAAGTGAGTTTTTGCCTCATTTTATGACCCTCTTGCCACAGTGAATAACAAAATTGTTAAGTGAACAATAACAAAATTGCTAAGTAATGGCTTCTCTGTTGACTTTGTCAGATCACAAAAGACGGGACCTTGAGACATAGCAACTGTCATAAATATAAACCAATTGCCAAGCTTCTGAATTTTGATCACCTGACTTTGAGGATGCTGCAAAGGTCATAACTGAAAAATGGTCAAGTCACATTTTTCAGTGCCATGTAACTTTGAACGATAGCTAAATGAACTGTTGTAAGTCAAGGACTACCTGTATTTATCGAGTCTCAATCATCCACCTTTTCAAAAAGCAACTGGACTTTCTTAGTCGGCTTTCTTTTTTAAAACGCACCTTTGGGTAAAGTTTCTGAGGTTGAGAAACACTATTTTGGGAAGCTCCATTCAGAGTCTGGCTCACACCCATTGAGTCCCATTGATTCAGAATGAAATCCCAGTAGACCTGCCAAATTCTGCTTTACAAAAAGGAGCTTCTTGTATTGTACATTTCTTGTACTGATCAAGCAGGCTCCTTCCTCTCTCCCTCCCTTCCCACTCATTTTCTTCCCTTCCTGTCCTCCTTGTACTCTTTTTCTTCCTTCCTTCCTACCCCCTCCATTCCCTTCCTTTCCTCTTCTTTCCTTCCTCTCTATCCCTTCCTTCCCATTCCTCCCTTCCTTCTTCTCCTTCCTTTCTACCCCCTCCCTCCCTAATTTTCTTTCCTTTCTACTTCCTCCCTTTCATCCCATTCCTTATCTTCCCTCTCCTTGTACTTTTTCTTTCTTTCTACCCCGTTCCCTTCCTTTCCTCTTCCTTCCTTCTCATTCCCTTCCTTCCTTCTTCTCTTTCCTTTCTACCCCCTCCCCCCTTCCTATCCCCTCCCTTATTTTCCTGATTTTCTACTTCCTTCCTTCCCATTCCCTATCTTATTTTCCTTTCTACTTCCTTCCTTCCTTCCCTTTGCCGCCCATCTTGCTCTCCAAAGGGAATGTGGTGGAGGTGCATTGTGCTGAAACACCCGTTTTCCCCCAGATCACCCCGTCATTCCTAATTGGCAGCAGACCACTTCCACTCGATATTACGTTCTTCTCATCAGAATGCATGCATGCATCGGGGTAAAAATCTCGCCCACTCCCATCCGGTCTCTAGAAGTAGTCCCGGCCGGAACCTTTGTGACGGCTGCGTGTTTTCCCCGGATCCGCTTAAAGGACAGGACCAGCAAGATGGCGGTGGCTGTCGTAGATCCGTATGGGGTGGCGAAAGTTCTCAGCGCTGAATTGGAAGAAAACGATAGTGGTAAAGCTGGGGAGGGGATCTGTAACTGGTTAGCCGGCTAATGGATGGCCGATGGGGGGAGAGGCGGAGGCAGCTGTGGAGAAAGCAAAAGGGTTTCTGCTTAAAAAGCGACGGACAAATCATCTGTATTTATAACGAGAAGTGTAAGATAAAGGGGACCCTATGGGGATGTCTGATAAATATCGCTTTCTTTCCCAGATCATTAGATCTAGTGTCTGTCGCTTTCCCATTTCTTAGCCTCCCACATGGTTATGGATCACTCGCTTTTCTTGGGTTACCAATAAAGAAGAATATTTGTAGCTCGGGGTTGAAATGAGGGGTGATCTGCGCTGCCGAAGCTTGTTTTCTTGCAGACGTTTCATTAGCCAAACTAGGTAACATCATCGGTGGTAGGTACTGATGACGTTACCTAGGTTGTGTAATGAAGCGTCTGCAAGAAAACAAGCAAGCTTCGAGAACAACCAAAGAGCCTCATTTTCTTGAATTGGTTTATTTCTTTGCTCGATATTAATTGCCACTGAAAAAGAATATTTGTAGCTCAGAAGTTGAACTGTGGGGTTCTTGCTTCCCTCTGAACTTGGTTTGTTTGCTTGCAGATTTTTCGTTCTCCAACTAGGTAACATCAACTCAACATTAACTCAAGGTTAATCGCACCAAACTTGATTGCAGGAAATACTGTATTTTTAACTAGTGGTCAATGTTTGGAACACTCTACCTGACTCTATGGTTTCTTCCCCAAGCCCCAAAAACTTTAACTTTGGACTGTCTACTATTGACCTCACTCCTTTCCTAAGAGGTCTGTATGGGGTGTGCATAAGCAGACCAACCGTCCCTGTCCTATTGTTTCTTTTATTTTTCTTATATGTATCCATGTATTCATAACTATGTTTTTACTTATACCTATTATCTTGTAAGCAATTGAAAAACCAAATAAAATAAAAAATAAATACTAGCTATGTTACCTAGCAATGAAATGTCTGCAAGAAAACAACCAAGCTCACAGAGCATCAAAGGACCTCATGGTATTGCTTCACAAAAAGGCAGCCTTGTTGCCCCTCTAAACCTTACACTGATGACGTTTCCTCATAAGGTAGTGAAATTGAGAGGTTGATTATGCTGATGTGGTTGCTTTGGTGATCACGTAAATAAATTTCCTCTGGAGGATCTGTTTTCAACTTGATCCTTCTGGTGCTATAACTTTACTTATAGCCACTGTAACTCAGTCCATCCTCCTGACTGCTGGTCATCCTCTGCTCTATCCTGCTTCTTTGGGATCAGACATTCACTTTCATAGTGTCATAGTGTTGCTTGCGCGATTGTGATTTTTGTAGATATCGCAGCATGAATATTTTTACAAGGCCATCGCAGCTGCTCCTAACAATTGCATATTGGTTGATTGCTTTTTCTTTACTGTTAATGGGTAATCCTAAAAGCAGGAGATATATACTTCTTCATTGTCAATCCTGATTGTTGTACCTTTGTCATTAGATTGGCTGTCTTTATCTTTGATTTTAGGAGAAAAGATTTCCATTTTTTGACTATCAAGTAGCTACATTAGCATAATACAGATTGTTGATGTTTCTGCCTTCAGTTTTAAAACCAAATCTTCTTTCAGTCCAACTTCCTTTAATATACTGTATATACTGTATATACTGTATAAGTCTGCTTGAATAATTAAGAAGAGAGTATACATCCTTCTCTCACTTCTTTGCCAGCTTACAAAACAGTGCTCTATGCTCCTTATCCTTAGACACAGTTCAAAAAGATATAATGATCAATAGTATCAAAACCCTCTGTGAGATCAAGCAGATGTAGATGGATTGCTCTATTCCATCTTGGTCCTGCCAGAAATAATCTTAGTTGTACAAAACACACATTCTCATTGTTTCCTTGAAACGATACAAACTCCTCTTGTTCTTGTGAGCTATTAGTTTTTAAAAAGTGGTGGGTATATTTGAATTTAATTAATTTACCAAAATTTAGATACAGTATTTTGGTTATGGATACGATGCAAGTAACAAGGATATTTTGTTTCTTTTAGGATCTGAATGGAGTTCAGGAGTTCCAGAAGATAGCTTTTCAAGTGATGAAGGAGAGCAGGATGACGAAGTTGATGATACACCTAAGACTCCAGATACCAAAGTTAATGATGCAGAGAAATCCAAAGAAACAGGAAACGCTGGATGGGCTGAAGCCATGGCCAAAGTGCTTAACAAAAAGATTTCTAGTGATAAGCCCACTATCCTGTTGAAAAACAAGGAGCGGGATGTAGAACGAAAAAAAGAAAAACAAGAGAGATTGGAGCAGAGGAAGAAGGTAAGGAAGCAGTTGAATATTACCGCTACTATTCAAGAAATGTACAGTAGCTGAGATACAAGTTATGCTTAATGTATGATCACAATTGGAATAAAAATTTCCACTGCTAAGCAAGGTGGTTGTTAAATGACTTCCCCTGGTTTTCCTTTTTTGCCATCATTGTTAAGCGAATCACAGAACGTGTTAATCACATGGTCATTAAGCAAATACACATTCTCCCATTGGTTTTGCTTGTCAGAAGCTGGCTGGGAAGATCGCAAATGATGATCTCATGACCTGAGATGGTGCAGTCAACAGTAAATAAATGCTGCTTGCCAACTGCACGAATTTTGATCACGTGACCATTTGGATGCTGCGATGGTCATTGTAAGCCACTTTTTTTCAGTGCCACTGCAACTTTAAACAGTCACTAAATGAATGGTGGTTAAGTTGAGGATTCCCTGTATCACAAAACCCTGATTTTGGCAAGTTATCTATCATCAACTAGCTGTCTATAGAGCTTTGGGGTTGTTAAATGAAGATGATGGGCAACCATATAAATTGGATTGATAAATGTAAATGATCTGTTGTTAAATGTGTAAAATGAATGTTTTAATTCTGTTTTTATGTTACAAAATTTAGAGGTTGTCCAACTCTAGGTGGGTCTGGATGGCTTACACTTTTGAAAAGTTGCTATCCAATAGTGTGTGTGCACACGCACACACACACACACTATTGATAACATACTATGTCATGCCACCAGGTATAGGATATTACATGACTTCTACCTCCCTGCTCCTTGGAGGGGGAAAACATCTGTATTATTTTCATAGTGTATATCCTGTGTGATACACACTTTCAGATTCTTTGTCATTAAGAGGCAGATAATACATGAAATATAAAATTTAAAAATACAGAACAAAAAACATAAAAGGTAAAATCATAAACAGCCAGAGAAAATAAATGCACACACACACCCCAAACCTCCCCCCCACAACTTTCCAGGGTTCAACAAGGCCTGTAGAATGTTCAGGTTTTCAAAGCTATGTCCAAAAAGAATCTAATCTTAGTTTTGCACTATGGTTTAGAAGGAAGCCTTCTCATGGCTTCTCCCCAGTGAGACAGTTCTTAGTTACCTACATTTCTGGAGGGTATTTCATGAAGGAAATTGGGCACTTCAACTTAAAATCCTGGACAGCCTTCTGGTTATTTTATAGAAACTCAAGGAGTTTTTTGTTTTTTTTTTATCTTCTCAGCATTAAGTCAAAATTGTTTCAGGGTTAAAAGCAGACATATCTAGTAAACCATATTCTTATCCGTCTATGCCTTGAAGCTTTTCCTCTCTTATTAATGACAGCATAATGAATGGAGCTACTAGTTGCTAAATGACTTATATTCTTACAGTATATTCAGGACACAGTGTAAATCAATCTTTCTCAAACTTGGCAGCTTTAAGATGCGTGGGCCTCAACTCCCACAATTCCCCAGCCAGAAACCTAATGAACCTCCAGCCCCTGGCAACAACAGTTAAGCCATTGATGGGCTCCATATCCCCCTGGGGTCACAAAACCATATCTTCAGAGCCTTTTAAACAAAATATCAAGATGGGGGCCAATCTCTGCAGGGATGGTGCTCCACAGGGAGGGAGGCCGCTATGCAGAGTGGCCTTCTTGGCCCCATCAGATGGAACTTCTTAAGAGAGATAACCCATAGCAATCCCTGCCCTCTTCTGGTAGACACAACTGGGAAAAGTAAGTCCTTCAAATAACCTGGCCTTAAGCTATGTAGGACTTTAAAGGTGTCAACCAGAGGTGGTATTCAGCAGGTTCTGACCAGTTCTGGAGAACCGGTAGCAGAAATTTTGAGTAGCTCGGAGAACCGGCAAATCCCACCTCTGACTGGCCCCACCCCCATCCATTCTCTGCCTCCTGAGTCCCAGCTGATTGGCTGGGTCTTCTTTTGTTGCCCTGCAGAGGAGAATGGAGCTGGAAAGCAGGTTAGTGGGGTGGGAAGGGAATGGGGATTTTTCAGTATCCTTCCCCTGCCACGTCCACCAAGCCGCGCCCACAGAACGGTAGTAAAAAAATTTGAATCCCACCACTGGTGTCAACCAGCACCTTGAATTGGAGCCAGAAGCAAATCAGCCACCAGTGCAGCTCCAGCAAGAGAGAGAACACGTGTACAAATCTAGAGTTACACAAAATTATGTGGGCTTCCGCATTTTGAACTAATGAAATCTTCTGGATACTTTTCAAGGATACTTTTCAATTCAATTGAAGAAAAGCAAATTTATCCTTCCTGCAGGGAAAAAAAAAAGGGCTTCTCTGTGTCTTCCGAAAGTTGCTCTTTGGTGTGGGAGCATATCCGTAATGATAATGACTGTTCTCCTGTAGCACATTTTCACTTCAATAACCTTTAGCTAGAAAGGGTTGGTTCTTCCTTCAGTACTTTCTATTAAATGACTAATTTCTCCCCTGTGTTTGTAACCCAGCTGAATAAAAAGCGGGAATGGGAAATGATGTGCCGAGTGAAGCCGGATGTTGTCAAAGACAGAGAAGTTGAGAGAAACCTTCAGAGGGTTGCCACCAGGTAAAAGTAAACGTTTGGTCTTTGAAAAGATTTTAGATTTAGATTTAATAAAGATCTTGCCTTTATTATTTTTATAAATAACTCAAGGCAGTGAACATAACTAATACGGGCAGTCTTCAACGTGTGACTAAAGTTGAGCCCCAGATTTACGTTAAGTGAGACATCGGTTGCGTGAGTTTTGTCCCATTTTACAACCTTTCTTGCCGGAGTGGTTAAGTGAATCACTGCAGGCATTAAATTGGTAACATAATTATTGGGTGAATCGGCCTTCCCCAGTGACTTTGCTCGTCAGAAGGTCGCAAAAGGTGATCACATAACCTTAGGACACGGCAACTGTCATAAATATGAATCGATTGACATAGGTCTGAATTTTGATCACGTGACTGTGGGGGTACTGCAAAGGTCATAAGTGTGAAAAACAGTCATAAGTCACTTTTTCCAGCACCGTTTTAACTTCAAACAATCACTAAATGAACTGTTGTGTAAGTCGTGGACTACCTGTATTCCTTCTTCCTCCTACTTTCCTCACAACAACCACCCTGTGAGGTAGGTTGGACTTGGGACTGGCCCAAGGTCCCTGAGCCGGCTTTCATCCCTAAGGCGGAACTAGAACACACAGGCTCCCGGTGATTGGCCCAAAGTCATCTGCTGGCCTACAGGTGATTGGCCCAAAGTCACCAAGTCAGCTTTCATGCCCCATGGTGGGATTAGAACTCACAGTCTCCTGGTTTCTAGCCTCGAACCTTAACCGCTACAGCAAACCAAACCAAAAAGCTTTGCAGGGTGATCTCTTGATCAAATCAAATTCTTGGCTGATTTGAGTGACTTGTACAGGTAGTCCTCGACTTACGACCATAATTGAGCCCCAGATTTTTGTTGCTAAGTGAGACATTTGTTAAGTGAGTTTTGCTCCATTTTATGACATTTCTTGCCACAGTTGTTAAGTGAATCTGGCTTCCCCATTAACTTTGCTCGTCAGAAGGTCGCAAAAAGGGATCACATGACCCAGGACTCTGCAACCGTCACAAATATGAACCAGTCGCCAAGCATCTAAATTTTGATCATGTGACCCTGGGGATGCTGCAACAGTCATAAGTGTGAAAAATGGTCATGTCACTTTTTTCAGTGCCGTTGTAACTTTGAACCGTCACTAAACGAACTGTTGTAAGTCGTGGGCCCCCTGTATATGGGTCTATCTCATAAAATATCAGCAAAAGTATTCAGAAGTCTTATTAAAAAAAACATAAAATGTTATGTAGAATTAGACTGTAATGTATTAAATAACCGAGCTGGATTTCCTTGACTATTGAATAAGCTTGGTAGTCGAAAAAAATATTTCTGCCATCCTAACCCTATAGTTAGTCCTTGACAGTCACTGATTTGATGACTATTCAAAGTCAACAATAGCAGTGAAAAAAAAAGTGACTAGCCCTCACACTTAGAACCGTCGCAACATCCCCATGGTTACGTGATCAAAATACAGCACTTGGCAACTGGCATAAATATACAACAGTTGCAGGGATCCATGATCTCCATTTATGACCTTCCCAGCTGGCTTCTGACGAGCACAGTCAATTGCAGCACAGTCAATTGCAGCGGGGAGCCGGATTTTCTTAAACAATTCTAGCCAAAAAAAAAGGACCTAAAATTGGGGTGACTCACTTAAGTGCTTTGCTTAGCAACAGTAATTCTGGCCCCAGTTGTCGCTGTAAATTGAAGACTACCTATAATTAGGGTTCCTTGTTGAGGCTGTGACAGAGGGGCCATAAACATTGCTTCGGTCATTAAACCTAGCTGCCTAATGGTTCCTTTTAATTTCCAGGGGGGTAGTTCAGTTATTCAATGCAGTCCGGAAGCACCAAACCAATGTGGGTGAGAAGATAAAAGAAGCGGGCAGCTCTGAGAGGAAGCGAGCGAAATTGATCTCCTCAGTTTCCAAAAGAGACTTCATCAGCGTCCTCCGAGGAATGGATGGAAAGGAAATGGAACAAAACCCTGAGAGAAAGTCATCAAGCAGCCGTCAGGTAAGGGGTGTTCCGTCACTATTTTTAGCGGTGTCATAACTTTGAACAGTCACTAAAGAGGTGGCTCTAAGTCAGTGGTAGGATTCAAATTTTTTTTACTAACGGTTCTGTAGGCGTGGCTTGGTGGGTGTGGCAGGGGAAGGTTACTGTAAAATCCTCATTCCCTCCCCACCCCACTAACCTGCTTTCCAGCTCTGTTCTCCTGTGCAGGGCAACCAAAGAAGACCCAGCCAATCAGCTGGGACTCAATGGGAGGCAGAGAATAGATGAGAGCAGGGCCAGTCAGAGGTGGTTTTTGCCGGTTCTCCAAACTACTCAAAATTTGCGCTACCGGTTCTCCAGAACTGGTCAGAACCTGCTGAATACCACCTCTGTTCTAAGTCAAAGACACTCTGTACATGGACTTGAAAGGAATAGGAATATTTTTCATTGGCCAAGTGCGATTGGACACAAAAAAGGAATTTGTCATCGGTGGATAATCTTAGCGTACATACAAACAACAAAGTGATAGGTCAAAGATCATAAATCATATGATACAATCAATAAAGATACAAACAACAAGTGATAAATCGTAAGATAACAATAGGAGAAGGTAGTAGGAAAGATGAGATGATGAGAAGGGTAATAGCAATACAGCCCTACTACATGGGTAAATATAAGGCGGGAAATAGGTGTTTAGTAGAGTGATGGCACAGGGGAAAAACTCTCAGTGTATCTGGTTGTTTTGGCATGCAATGTCCTATGGAGGCGTCCTGAGGAGAGAAGTGGAAAGTTTATGTCCAGGATGCGAGGGATTTGTAGATATTTTCTCAGTCTTCTTTCTGGCTTATGCAGTATGCAGGTAGACCTCGACTTACAACAGTTCATTTAGTGACCATTTGAAGTTACAACAGCACTGAAAAAAGTGACTTAACGACCATGTTTCACACTTACAACTGTTGCAGCATCCCCATGGTCACGTGATTTAAATTCAGATGCCTGACAACTGGTTCATATTTATGATGGTTGCAGTGTGCCAGGGGTCATGTGATCCCCTTTTGTGACCTTCGGACAAGCAAAATCAATGGAGAAGCCAGATTCACCTCACAACCGTGTAATTAACTTAACTGCAGTGATTCATTTAACACAGTTTCAGTTGTGGTATGCTGAATTTTCCTCTACTTTCCATCTCCAACTTCTTAGAATAAACCGAAATCTGAAGACGCTCCAGCATGGAATATATTGCGAGACGATTACATGATGGGAGCCTCAATGAAGGACTGGGATAAAGAAAGTGAAGAGGAGAACAGTGCTGGAGGAGACAGCGACATTAAGCAGGAGAGCGAAAGTGACTCAGATCGATAATGTTCAGAGTCATCCAGAAATCCAGGGGTATTTTTGATGCTATGTAGGGATTGGGGATTAAAAGACACTTTTTTATACAAAGACCACTTTAAAGAACATGAAAGTTCTTTAGTTGGGCAGCCAATAAAATTTAACTAAACAGTAATGGGTTAGCTAATTTGTGGCTCTGTGGCACGCAGAGACATTTGTGCTGGCATGCAAGCCGCAGGCAAACTTACCTCACTGCTCACAGCTGATTTTCGGCCTGTTTGAGGCCTTTTTCAGCCTCCCAGAGCCTTGAGGAAAGCCTTTGCAGGCTGAAAAATGGGCCCGTTTCATCACTTCCTGTATTTCTGGAAATATAGGAAGTGATAAAACGGGCCCATTTTTTGGCCTGCAAAGCCTACAGAAGCTTTCCTCGAGCCTCTGGGAGGCCGAAAAAGGCCTCAAACAGGCCGAAAATCAGCTGGGAGGCACAGTGCAGGTAAGGGGGCGGTGGGGGGTAAGGATTGCACGCGCATGTGCAGAGGGCGGGGGGGCGCATTGCCTTCTGGGTGCTGGTGCACAAGCGCGCACGCAATTTTTGGCACAGGAAGCCAAAAAGGTTAGCCACCACTGGTCCATATGCTGAATCTTTGCAGTTAGGAAGGAGATGGGTTTTGTAGTGGAAACTAGACTGGTGGCCCCATCTGGCATCCATCATTAGATCAGTCATTTTACTTCGCGGGTTTATTTGAGGTTTTACCGACTTAATGTCTTTATTTATATATTGACTTAGTGAAAGCCTGAGAGCATAAGAAGATTTTGCTAAGAGTTGGTCTATAATGTCACACCTGTCTGGTGCCAGTTAAAAGCAAAGAACTTCAGTTAGCCCGGTGAAGCAAGAGTATTTCTTTTTGTTTATTTCTTACTTAGAAGCAGGTCAAATAGACTACTTCTGTAATAGGAGACAACATGTATTTATCCTTTTCCCTTATTTATAAAAGCATCTGTTCAGTGCTAATTTTCATTAGATCCATTTCAAATCTGAGAAACCTAGGGAGAAAACTTTCCATTTGTGGTATCAGTGGAAACAGGTTTTGATGTGCACATTTAAGTGGGGGGGGGGGGGGGAATTCCATGATTCCTGCTGACTCATTCCATGAACTTAAGCAGCCGTTTGGCATTTCACAAGAAAAATAGGATAACTGTAACAGAAAAGTTCTTTGTATATATAGGCTGTGTATTTTGCCTTCTTTTCTGTCTATACAAGTAATTCTGTGTATACAAGTGAGCCCACTGTTCACATGGTAGCAAATGGTCTGGTTGCTAGAAACCAGAAATAAAAGCCAGTTTCCGGCAAAACCATTATAAACCATGGTCACGTGACCATGGGGCACTGCAAACAGCTGTAAATGTGGGCCAGTTGTGACTACCAGTTGGGGCAACTTTAGAACTTTGAATAGTCGCTGTTGAAAGAAAAACAGAATGATAAAATTTTAATCAGGCCAGATTTTGGTGGCCTTTTTAAAGGGAAGATACAGTGATGCAGAGCTGTTAAACTTACACCTTACTCCTGAATACTGTTTGTAGGGCGTTTTTTTCTAGTTCTGAGTAAGATATCTATCTGTCAACCTAATTTAAAATTTGAATGACTTTCCTTCCTTGTAATGTTGGAAAACCAACTTTTCCTATGAGGCTCTTCTGATGGAAGAAGCATTGACACATGTATTGGTTGTTTTTTTAAAATGTTAAACTCATAATACCATGTTGCCGTGTCTCATTTTTTCCTTCATGTTCTAAAACAATGATTTTTTTTTTGTTAGGCTATAGTGCTGCTAAGCTTTCAGTACATGGCCTACATAGTAACTCCTGCTGTTGTATGTGTGTGAGAAAGAGAGAGAAACCCATTTATTCTGAACAAGTAATTTTTTTAAAAAAGGATTATTTTGTTCTCACTTAGACAAAACCCATCTTAATTCTGTAGTATGCCAAATGTTTTGAATGCAAAACAATTTGAACTCAAAATGGTTCCATCTACCCACTCTGTTCTGAATTCAAAATGTTTTGAGCTTGAAACAGGTATTTCCAACTTTATTGGAAACGATCAATGGTGTTTTTTGACCAAGGAAAAAAATCCTGTTTTGAACACTGTAAAGAGGATTGATTTATAAGCTAGCCAAGACTTTTATCACAGCAGAAACCAGTGGCTGCTAACAACCAGTTGGGGGATGGCATCGGCTGCAGTAATTGTGCCAAAGAACCGTGATTTCAAGTATGTCAGTAAAATTTCTTGAACAACTCGCTTTCTCCATAATGTTTCTACTCCCTTGATTTAGTATTCATGATTCAGAGGTAGCCAAAGGCAGATTTAACAATATTTCCTAGAACTTACCTATTTAAAAGAAAGCATTTATAGAGCTGCCTGTCTACGAATGAGCTCCGGGAAGCTCCCAATCAAAAGAAAACAGCATATAAAATCATATTAAAACTATAAAAATAAACAGACAAAATCATTATTTTGTCTTAACTGCTTCGGGCGTCAAGGGAGATAACGGACTTCTAGTTTTTGCTCTTCTGGAGGATTCAGTGATTGTTACTTGATGCTGTTATAGTGTGTCTTGGACCTCTCAAGGTCCGACCCTTCGTCCAAGTTGTGAGAGGTGACAACAGGACAAAGTAAGGGTTTGCTAGGAGTGGGTGAAGATATGGGGTGGTCTTATGTTGCAGGATGGTCAGAGCAGCCATGAAGGAAGCTTTGGAAGCCATATTGAGACCAGATGCTCTCATGCTGCCACATTTTGAGCCTGGGAAAATGGAAGGGGGGAATTTCTTGGAGTGTATGTAGTTAGACATAATAACTTTCTTTTTCTAATTCAAGGTCATGTTATTTTGTGCATAAGTGAGGGGAAGTCTCAAGTTGGATGGTGATTGGGGCATGTGACGTGATGATGGGTGCAGGAGATGGATTTGTAGTTTTTATTTATTGCAAGGAAGCCCGGAACTATCAGATTTGGGATTCCCCAGTTTGTGCCAGTTTACTATCCAGATAAAAAGAATTTTGAGAAGATTTCTGTCTTGGAGTTATTGGTTGGAGTGGAGGTTTTCTGGAACGCTGACAGCCATCCTGAGTCACCCTGAAATGGCCTGGCTAAAGGGGCTCTGGTGAAGTTGCGACAGACCCAGCAAGCTGGCAATGGATAATCTATTGCTACAGAAATTAAAATGAGATACAACCGGACTGACGAAAGCATCAGAAACAACAAATACTTGGTGCCAAGTCAAACTTCTCTTTTGCAGTCATCCAATCTTATCCCAGGGCTTGAGGGGAAAAGCCGGGTCTTCAAAGCTTTGCAGAGGGATAAGAAATTTAGGAGGTTAGGATAACCTCAGTTCACTGGGTAATGAAACATATGCAAGACAACAGTCAAGCTCAGAGAGCACCAAGGATTTCTTCATTTCAACCAAGCAACAAATAGCAATAGAACTCAAGACTTATGTAAGGACCTCTCATTTCTAACTCCTGTTAGATAACAATCTGGGAAGGGATTAAGAATGGGCCCATCCTATCTGACCTGGGAGGACAGGTAAATGTGTTTAGGGAAAGATGGTCCTACCAATAACCTGGCCCTATGCCATTTAGGGCCTTAAGGATGATGCCCTTGAATTGCACCTGGAGAGAAACTGCAAGCCAATGCAGCTCTCATAACTCATAAAGCAAGCCTAGAGGTTTCCATTTACTATTCATACTGCTGCATTTTGGACCAGTTGAACTGCTGCTTGTGGCTCCCGTGGCACTGAATACTTGCACCACACCCTGCTTGATTGTTCCTTACCTAAGGTAATCTACCAATATGGAATTTGTCCTGTTTAGGAACACTCCCAGCTAGGTAATCTAATGCATTTTGTTAAAGATCATGTGGACAACCAAGACTCAAAGAGTATACTCTCAATTTGCAAAGTTTTGCTACTCCACCTGAAACTCTGTGTGCCAGGATCTTATTTTATAGCTGCATAGATTACTGTTCTCCTTGATGCTGGATATTAAAATCTATAGCTCACAGCTACTTTTATTGTGAATTTTATTGTAAATTACAACTGCTGTTTACAGCAACTGTAATAAAGTTTTATACCCTGCTATAGATCTTTTACACTCTGTTAAGCGAATTCAATAGCTTGCTCATTTCTGAGCTGGACAAGAAGCTTGAAAACTCCAAAGCATCCGAGGTTTATGGTTGAGTAAACCCAGGATGACTCCCTGTATCAGGCAAATAACAGAATAACAGAGGAGGAAGGGTCCTTGGAGGTCTTCTAGTCAGGCAGGAAGTCCTATACCATTTCAGACAAATGGTTGTCCAATCTCTTCTTAAATTTTCCAGTATTGAAACACTCATCACTTCTGGAGGTAAGTTGTTCCACTAGTTAATTGTTCTACCTGTTAGGAAATTTCTCCTTAGTTCTAGGTTGCTTTTTTCCTTGATTAGTTTCCATCCATTGCTTCTTCTGCCTTCAGGTGTTTTGCAAAATAAGTTGACTCCCTCTTCTTTATGGCAGCCCTTCAGATATTAGAAGACTGCTGTCATGTCACCCCTGGTCCTTCTTTTCATCAAACTAGACATACCCAATTCCAACAACTGTTTTAATACACTGCTCAAAAAAATAAAGGGAACACAAAAATAAGACATCCTAGATCTGAATGAATGAAATATTCTTATTAAATACTTTGTTCATTACATAGTTAAACGTGCTGACAACAAAATCACACAAAAATTATCAATGGAAATCAAATTTAGCAACCCATGGAGGTCTGGATTTGGAGTTACGCTCAAAATTAAAGTGGAAAAAAACACTTCAGGCTGATCCAACTTTGATGTAATGTCCTTAAAACAAGTCAAAATGAGGCTCAGTAGTGTGTGTGGCCTCCACATGCCTGTATGACCTCCCTACAACGCCTGGGCATGCTCCTGATGAGGTGGCGGATGGTCTCCTGAGGGATCTCCTCCAACACCTGGACTAAAGCATCCCCCAACTCCTGGACAGTCTGGCGCAACGTGGCGTTGGTGGATGGATCGAGACATGATGTCTCAGATGTGCTCAATTGGATTCAGGTCTGGAGAACAGGTGGGCCAGTCCATAGCATCAATGCCTTCGTCTTGCAGGATCTGCTGACACACTCAAGCCACAT